TACGCACTTTAATCGATGCAATACTTGTGAGACTAACGTGATTTTAAGAAAGTTCATTTTTTTTGCACACCACTGTATGGAATAGAGAGTTCAAAACTGTCTGCAATATGCCTGCAAATATGGAACTTGATAATTAATAAAAGTGTTGTTTTTTCCTTTACTTAGTTTATTGGTGTTTGGCAAAAGTGTTCTACAGAAGTAACTCTACGTCGGTGTTATGCGTAAATTAGCTGCGCCTTTGTTCCATTTAACTTCTAACCTTTGTAAACGCGTTTTATGTCGCACAAGCAATCCGAGTATGATTTTTGCTGATTCGAATTCATTATCAAAATGTGGGCATAAATGGACATAACCCCTTCCAGAAGAATAAACTCTCCCTCTTAACACTATGACCTCAAGCCACGAATTCGATGCTTACAAATTCAGATGATGAATCTCTTAATAAACTCTAAGTTTGCTAAGATGCATTATTATATAAAATAAGGTAAGTCGATTAAATTAATTCAATAATCATCGAAGTAGTTATAGTTGAGAAATAAAGTGCATCTTTAAGATTAAATAAAAGAATGATAGGACCGATTAATACCACCACGAGTCAGTCTATCTAGTATTTCTTGAACCTCTTTTAATTGTGCTCGACGTTTTTCGTTAAGTTCAATAATAGCAAGTGTATTTTGTTCATCTACAGTGTAATGATTTGACTGTTTAGCGATGTTCCTTCTCTACAAAGACTTATCGAATTTGCATACCCCTCTCATTTTCCCTTCTCCGTACTTTTTAGTTGACAAGTTTTATCCATCGCTTTGGAGACTATATCGATTATTTCTTGAATATGCGCGTGAGTAAACTAAAATTGTTGTTAGTATTATTATAATAGAGCCTTAATACTTAATAGCTATAACTTACTGGCTCTTTTTCTTGATATATTTTTTGCGAAGAAGCAAACTCCTATATGTAATAAGAAGAGTATATTAATGGCCACAGCTTATTTTGCATTAAACTGCATCATCTGAAGCAAAATTTTCTCTTTTATTGTTTTCCAAGGCTAAAAATTTCAGCTGGGCAACGTCTAATTAGTACTGGCAATTTTGTTTAACGTAAGTTTTAATAAAAAGAGTTTAACTCGGTTTCGCGCGCTTCCAGGAACGTCTCCATGTTTTCATTACTATTATAGAGAAAGTAAATAATAGACTTGGATTAATCAATCAACGATAATACTCACATTGTTGCCACATATTTGTTGGTTACTCTTGATTGGTCTTCTAATTTTTTGATGCAAGCTGACGTTTTCTCCGATTCATTCATTATTTTATCCATCGCTGTGGAGACTATATCGATTATTTGTTGATTATGTGCGTAAGAAAGCTGATAGAAATATTTTTGTTAGTATTGTTATATAAATAAAGACTTAATACTTAATAACTGTAACTTACTGGCTTTTTTTTTTGATATATTGTTTGCGAGTTGGACGGAGAAACAAACTCCTATATGTAATAAGAAGAAATATAGTAAAGGAAGCCAAAGCGTATTTTGCTATTAAACTGCACTATGCTACCTTGTCTGAGGCAAAATTTCCTCTTTGATTGTTTGTTAAAAGTTTCATTTGACTGTGGAGCGCATTCAGCTAGAGAAACGTCTAATTAGTGCTGGCAGTTTTAATTAACATTAAGTTTTAATGAAAAGAGTTTTACCTCATTTTCGCGTGTTTCCAGAAGCGTCTCCATTTTTTCATTCTTGATTTCACTATATAAAGAAAGTCAAATATATAGGTTGGATTAATCATTCAACGATAAATACTTACAGTGTTGCCACATAGTCGTCGGTCACTCTTGCTTGGTCTTCTAATTTTTTTATGTAAGCTGAAGTTTTCTCAGATTCTTCTATGTTTTTATCATCTGCTTTCTGGAATGCTTCAAAAGTTTTATAAAACATGTCGTTGGCTTCTTCAAGTTTCTTCTTCAGTCCTGTACAAGTTCTTAATCTATAAACTCAGAGAGTTAGTCATCAGCCACCATAATAACATTACACTAACTAAACGTACTCTTCTTCGATTTGGTCTTCAAGAAGTTTAATTTCCGCGTTTTTTTGTTCTACTTTATCATGCAGACTCGTATAATTTGTTGATCTAAATAAATAAAAGTTAGTTATAGTCGTGATATATTTCGCTAATGTATACATACAATTTCTCGATCCGATTTTCAAGACCTTTAATTTGTTCATCTTTTCTCGTTATTTCCTCTAAAAGTCTGCAAATTTCTGCATATACGATCTCTGGTTCTTGCTGTATTATGTTAATTGGGTCTGGCTGTATTATGCCAACGTCCTGTGCGTTGTCCATAATAAATAACAAAGGATGAAATTTCAACGTTATGTAGAACTATTTTATAAAAAGTAACGTATTGTTAATATGCAAATTTATTGTTACTGTGTATTATAATAACATGCATATTATTGACGCCCTTGACAATATAATACTACAATGTAACCCTACGAGTTTGTACGGTGTGGCTTTTAATTTATCAAAATTTGACGCTAACGTTATCTGCAATCTCATGAAAAGAAGTAGCAACTGTATTTGTTCCAACAAATATCCCTTCTTCGAATTTTTATCAAACTCTTTGTAGACATTTTTAATTGCGTCAGGCATTTCCATAATGTGTTGACGCATTTTCGCATAACAGCTGTCTCCCGTTAAACCAGTGATTGGTTCAGAGCTGTCTGCAGGAAACAGATTTGTCAAGTAGTTTCTCGCTAATTAACTTTATTAGAGAAAAAAATGATTCGTAATGCGTTTGAATAAGACAAAATAGTATTCCAATTGATCAAACAGTTGTCTCCTTTCATCTTTGGAAACTTTGTAGCAACTGTTATAAACTTTTATGGCATTCTGAAGCTCTTCGACCAATTCGTTTTGTTTTATTTTTCGAGATCGCCGAGTAATCTGGACCTACAGTGGGTGATCAAAAGTATTCGTCACTCCTTGAAATTTACTAGTAAAACATATAAAAAAAATTTTTTTTCTAAAATCTCGATTGTACGTATTTACTATGTGAACCACAATGATTTATCAAAAGCTCTAGAACAAAATATATCGTTAACCTTTTTGGGACTTTCATGTAACATTATTCGAGATAAAGGAAGCGTGGCTTTGGCAAATGCATTAAAATTAAATTCGACTTTAAGTTTTTTTGATTTTTACGGCAATTATAGCGGCAATGCAGGCAACATAGCTTTATGTAAACTTTTAATGTCAAACTGTTCTCTGACTTGTTTGGATTTGGGCTGTATTGGGTTTGGTACGCTAGTTAAGGGCTTGGCTGAAGCTTTAAAGTTGAATTTCACTTTGACTCAGTTAAATCTCTACTGTAACAATATTAAGGACGAGGGAGCAATAGCTTTGGCAAAAGCTTTGGAAACCAATTATTCTTTAACTTCTTTAAATATCAGTACAAATTCTATTGGCGTCGACGGAGCGACGGCATTAGGAAAAGCTTTGAAAATTAATTCATCCCTCTCCTACTTAAATTGTCATACAATGATATCAACAGTGCAGGAGCAAAAGCCTTGGCAAATGGATTGCAATATAACAAAGGTTTAACTTCATTGGAACTTAGTCTAAATTATATTGGAGATATAGGGGCACAAGCATTAGCGAACGGCCTAAGATTTAACTCCACGTTGAAATGTATGGATATTAGTAGTAATCTTATAGGAAATGCTGGTTCAGCTGCACTTTCAGAGGCTTTAATGTTAAATGCCTCTCTGACCGCAATAAACTTAAAATATAACGAGATTTCTAATGAAGGAGCAAAGGCATTAGCAAAGAGTCTAAAATTAAATTCTACTTTAAAGTTATTCGATATTATGAACAATCCTATTGACTACACGGGAGCAGCAGCTTTAGCGGAGAGTTTAGAATCAAGTTTGTCTTTAACGTCAGTGAATGTTTGGTATCGTAGTTTTAGGGAAACAAAAACTTGGGCTTGGCATCAAATTCAATCTCTTAGTTGTCATAAAAGTTTGATCTTTTAATGATTTGTCTTGATTTAGCGAAAGTATGTGAGCGAGTAGATCGATAAAAATTTTGTACATAATAACAAAATACGATGTTTTCATATAATATAATAATCAAACCAAAGTTTAGTTCCTTACAAAGACGTAACAGAAGGTAAGGAAACATATTACAAAAAAGAATAAGTTGTCTCTGTTGTAAATACTAATAGACATATCAAATTTTCCTTTACAGATATTTCTACACAAACTTTTTACTTTGTTTCCGTTCGACTGTTTCACTACAGGCGAAAATACGTCTTATAAAATTACTTCGCCTGTATCTCTTTTATTGAATCCTTTGATTTCATGTTGTCAACAATCTTATTGACCAGTACAACTGTTCATTGTTATGATATAGATATCCATGAAAAACGACACAATCGGCAACTTAATAATACGTTATTAATCAAATAAAATCGGCGCTTGAAAGATTTATGATAATAAATCGTATTTTGATCAGCCAATCATATTGAGATTTGAATTGACCAATCAGACAAATGTCTGGGATGCTGCGACTGCCATAGTATTCCAATTTTAGCTAAAAGTTTGCCAATTCTATGCGGTTTGAGTTCAAGCAATACTCACCGAGCACTTCTTAGTTTCTTCTTTTTTGCTCAATTGAATACTAACATCAATTACAGTAGTTTCTTCTTTGCTATAATTGTATTTACGCGGCCTAGATACCACAAGTAGGTTCTACTATGTTCAATAAACTTTACTTTTGGCTCCTAAGTTTAGATAAATCAACAGTAATGACTCTGCCTATAACGCAACTATACGCAGGCGCTTTTACTGTTGCAGTAGGTATCGCTTTAGTTCGCTACCTTACCTATAGCAGATTATCAAATACCAAGCAGCCCTATTTAGCTAAAATAATGCATAGCGATAATATATTAAGTGGCTCATTTCTCAAAGAATCCGGTACCGGCCACCAGCTAACCCCGCTGGAATCTCGGGCATTATCGAACTTACGGCTTGCAGCAACATTTGACATCTGTAATTCGTTTACAACGACCGAGGAAAACATTCATAGAGAATTTCGACAACAGGCTGCACAACGTCTAAATTTAACTGAAAGCGAGTGGAAGGCTATTGTATGCAAAGCACAACTGGCCATTTCATCATATTTACAGATTTCTCTCCAGCAAACCAATAGCTTGTATCTGAAAGTGTCTCTACCTTCTATGGTACGAGTTGTAGTTCTTAAAGTTGTCCTCAGTACAATGTTTGATGAATACCAAACGCATTCACTCCCCACAGACCAGGAATATCGCGTACTTGATCAAGTTGCCGACATGATTAACAAACTATGGATATTGTCCAAGCAGGGTTTTCCAGATTCAGAGTCCCTGTTAAATCAGCTCAATGCACTTTTAAACTGCTTGCTGCCCGAAGTATACTACCCACTGAATATTATCTTACCCTCATTTGAAACGATGTGGCGCGTAACAATGCGAGGAGTTATGGAGTTACGGTTTCGTGATTGTGAAACCTGGAACTCGCATTATCAACGTATGTTCAAGGATATCTTGAACAATCCCTCTCTTCATACGATGAAAAAGTTGGATCGTGAATATGGCGCATCGATGAATGATATAGTGAATGAGATACTGCGTCTCTATCCACCCACACGGCGTATTCACAGAGCAATTTCTGCTTCTGATAGTTGTTCGCCTGTTATCACGTCAGTTGATATAGACAGCCTGCATCGGGATCCTGATATATGGGGAAAGGATTCATTATGCTTCAGACCCTCTCGTTGGCGCAGCGGACTTAGCGAAACGCAGAACGCAGCATTCTTTCCATTTGGTAAAAAAATTTTCGTTTGTCCTGCAAAACCATCTTTTGCGCCTCGAATGTTGGCCATTCTTGTGGGCGCAATCTCAATAGGTATAGAGCAAGCTAACTTGGAGTGGGGTCAAGAGAGAAACAGTTTTGTTGAGAAACAACCCATCAGTAACCGCCGAGAGGATTTAGACGCTCTAAGCATTTCTTATCGTCAATCAAACTTGCCTACTTTCTTTACAAAAGTTTCTACAGTAGCAGATACTTCTAAATTGCAGCTTGATAACCCACAAGTGGGTGAAATAACATTGAAAAATAACTGTCAGTAGATTTCATGTTCGAATTAACCATACGGTGTGCAACAGCTCTATTGAAGGCTGCGAGGAAGTAATCCAAGCGTTGTCAGACAACGCTTTATTTTATTTATTATGTAATAATTCTGGTCAACATTATGTTGCCAGGCTTTATTCGGTAGCAAAAGCACAGAAAATCAGGGGTCACCCCATGTGTGCCCTCAAAAACCCAGATCGGATAGGTTTAATAAAGGCAGCATCTGCCCCTTTATTTTGAGTAGCTTGCAGGGTCTCTTCAATGGCATGGGCGCTATTTACAATGATGGGTAAATGATGACCTGTGGTTTGTTCTCGCGTTCGGATCGCTACAATGACGTCTTCTCCCTGCACATCAGGTAGACCCAAGTCCAGAAGGATCGCTGCATAGTTTTCAGTGGCAGTGCGATCAATGGCGTCTTGGCCTTTCGCTGTCGCTTCTACCTGAAAGCCGAGGCGCTCCAGCATGAATTGATGGACGGCCTGGATGATAGAGTCATCTTCGACGAGATAGTGTCTCAAGCGTCAAGCTGTTGTCAGGACGTGTTTACACTGTCTGCTTTTAAAGCGCGACCCCGACTCGGTGTTTTGGGTTTTGCCTGCTGGGCAAATAGGGTGAGGTGGCTGAGAAAGGCCGGTTCGATTTTAAGATGCCATAAATGAGATGAATGAGTTTACGCATCACCGCACAGACAATGACCTTGCCTTGTTGGTTTATCAAATTGAAATAAAACAGTTAAGTAGATAATACGAAAACAATATTATTCGTTGTGTGTACCCATATGATTCAAAGACATGGCACAAAGAAATGCATTACATAAAATGTCTTGTAAAAAGGTATTATTTTGATAGTAATTCTTTGATCTCCCTGTCCCATTGATGACATTCATGTTGAAATTGGGTTAGATTCCATCGCCGTACAAGTTTGACACAAAGACCTGGACAAAGATTGTATAAGTGATAACACGCTCTTTTATTAACAGATATTGTCCCTTATCCAAGTACTATGAATAATGACTAATGCTCCAGGAATTTGAAAATAGGAATTTAACTTCGACTCTAACTTAGTTGTATCTATTTGTAATTTCTTATCTTTTTCCCAACTAGTTACATTTGAATAATCTCGTGCTACACAATAATTTAGTTCGTTCAGTAAAGAAAAAACAACATCAGAATTTATGACACCAAGCATTAAATGAATTTCGGTTTCGTTCAATAAATTACAAACAGAATTTTCAAGTGTATTTTTAACATGGTGTTCAGTTGCTGAACACCATTCCTCAATATACCTGTTAAATTGACATACCTTCTCGTTATTAATAGGCTCAATCCACACAAAATTTTCAACGTTAATTGTTTTGAATACTCTTGCTTTGCAGATCTCAAGTTCGGGCCTGACGGTGTTGCTAACTTTAATTTCAAACTTTGAACTGTCTACGTCTAGGGCTAAGGTAAGCTGCTTTCTTAAAATCGGCTCTAGTTTTGTGTAATCGCAAGCAAACATATACCCATACAGTTGAAATATTTGTCTAACCCGTTGTTCTTTGACGTTGTTAACCCTTACCAGGAATACATGTAGTTGACGATAATCTTTAACTCTCTTAAAATATTCATTAACCTTATGTACTTTATACATGAGAGTATTATAATGATCACTTTTTATGAATGTCGTGGATAGCGTTAACTGTCCGGTGTAAAATTGCATCTGATTTAGCGGTGCCAACAAAACTTTGTCCGCCTCAAATTTGAAACGATTATTTGGAAATATGTGCACAGCCGATTCAGTGCTGTTGCCAAAAATGTCTTCAAATGAACGGTCAAGCTGCAGTTCACGAACATCAGTTACATTTTGAGTTATTTCAATTAAATTTTCTATTTCGATTAAATTTTCTTGGAGCTCTTCTAAATTACGCGCAATAGTATATCCATGCAAGAAAAAATATCGTCGAAGTTGGTTATATTGTGTTGTACCAGCCCTTACGTTAACTGTTAAAAATCGTGCCGAGTTGTCATCATTAAAATAAGTATCGATTTCTTTAAGAGTTTCAGAAAATATGTAATGTAAGCTAATTGTGCTATAACACTTTTCTATTTTAATGTCAATCATTTTTCATGGATGAACTATGGCCAACTGTAGTCCTTTATATTGCTAGTGATTGTTACGATTGTAATCAGTATTATATCGGAATTCAATGTAAGACGTTAAGAATACAACTGTCATCCGATTGTTGTATTATTCTTAAACAAATGAGAAGACCAATAATAACTTTGTATTAACAAATAAGACAATTGTTACTCTCCACGATGACGCTACCGGAATCAGAAAGTAAATTGACCATAGAATTCCCGCTTTCAAAATAAAGTAATGAATATTATCAGCATTGACTACTAAAAGGGGAAGTCCATTCGAACAAGGTTTTTGTTACTATCCTCAATAAGTGTTCAATGTGAAAAATGTTGTCATGTGTAACATTTGACATCCGTATGCTGCCGGATTCAGACTTTCACAACAAGCCTTACTCGTTTGCGACAAATACATTTGTAGAGAAGACACGCAATAATTGAAAGAATTATGAGGCCCAATATTGTAAATGTGAGGATGCAAAGATTCCCACATAATCGGTTTCCATAAGGACCGTAATACCAAAATATCCATTTAGACCTGTATCTGTTATAACCTCGACCTCTTCCATCGCTGCTGCCGTCTCCTTTAGATAACACAAAGTTTGCCTGAATTAATATCGATAATCAAGATGTAACGGCGTTTGCAATTTGAAATTTTCTCATAGATGTTGAATTACAAATGCAATTAAGAGTTCCCTCCTCATAAATATATACTAAGTACAAACGCATTTAATCCTTATTGTGAGCAATCTATTGTCCTATTTTCACTGAATATATTTGTATTGTGAACCTAATCTTGACTACGTAATGTTTTATTGTCATTCGCATCATCGAATTCACGGTGTTCCTGAGCACAACCACACCAGAAATGAGTGCAAGCATCCCGACAATACTACCCTGCAAAACAAAAGACAAAAATAAAACTTGCCATACCTCGATTCTTTTTTTTGCACGAATTTCGCCACGCGAAAGCCTGTATACAAAGCACGCAGTAACAACAATCTGCACCAAAACCCGAGTCGTTCATTTTCTCTTTTGTGTCGCCCTACAATGCCATGAATTGCATTAGAGAAAAGCAAAATTGAAAAGCATACTATTCCTGTTAGACCTACATACAGAGAATAGACCAGCTTTCCATCCTCTTTGCGCCATGTAGTTAATACGGACAATATGATGTTGCAGTAGTTATGAATTAGAGTTCCTTATCGTTATTCATGTATACATTTCGTCAACTACGCTACTAGAAATAGGCTGGTAGTCTCGCAATCCATTATCTTTTAGCTATCGGGAAAGGGTTTTCGATCGAAGCGTTTTAGGAGCGTTATACATTTTTGGGGTTAGCTATCAACGTAAATTTGACCGACAGCGTTTGATCAACCAGTTTTCAATTATCCGATTGATATATGGCAGTGAATGTTGAATTATTGTATGGCAATGAATTGTTGTATTCAAAACATTGTGCAATCCACAATACAAAACTAATTCATAATAATAACAAAACGTTTGCCATACTGTCAAGGCAAATAGATAAATACCATGAAATAAACTATAATGTATGGCTATAATAAGAATAATCGTCACAAAAATCGGCTGTCTGTAGATCGTCGAAAAGCGAAAAAAGACCATAATCTAAATCATAGATCGGCACATCTATTATATCGGATTGCGTAATTGCTACGTTGTTAGTGTCGATATTGCCCTCATCATATATGTTATTAAGGTACACGTTTTCTGACGACTGAAGAAGTAATGGTTGAGGTACAAAGTTATCGCTAACAGCATGGTTAATTTTTTTACGTCTTTTTCTTTTTTCTTTTTGGTTAGGACTATATTTGTATTCTGGAAACATAATTTTGTGCTGACAGTCAGCTATCTCACTTAATAACTTCCAAAAATCCAAATCTCTGTCCTCGTCAGGGTAGTTCTTTTTGTCATTTTTAATTTTTTTCCATTCATCGCTGGCCATTTTTGATGAAAGTCTTACTGTTTCCTGGCCGTCGCGTATCTTTTGTTCTTTTGTCAACATCGCCGTTACATCTTTTCTGAATATCATAAAGCAATTTTGTGGTCTAGGAATTGCCTTCGATCGAGAGCATGTACTTGGTGCAATAAGCTGTTGAATAGAGAGCGTTGTTTGCATTTTCGGAAATCGTCTACGCACATCCTCTACTAACTCGCATAATTTTAGTTGTATATTGGTATTACTTTCATAATCTTGCATTTTTCGTAACATGATTTTCTGTTTTTGACGGATGGTTTATGGTTTTATTAGAGAGCCTTGCCCACTTACAAATTATTATTTAAAGAAATAGAACAATAATATATTGTTTACTGTTTATCTGATACTTACGCGTTTTGGTTGCCTGAATGACGAAGTAAAATCTCTAATATACGGCCATATTCGGTGAAAGAGACAATTTTAGGTAAATCAATTCAATCTCGGACAATAGATTGCTCACAATATGGATTAAAATGTGAATTAGTATATATTTATGAGGAGGGGATCTTAATTGCATTTTGTAATTAAACATTATGAGGAAATTTCAAATTGCAAACGCCGTTACATCTTTATTATCGATATTCTTATTATGTATATTACTCCAGCAAAACTTTGTCCTATCTAATGGCGATGGAAGGGGTCGAAGTTATAACGGATACAGGTCTGGGTGGATATTTTGGTATTACGATCCTTATGGAAACCGATTATGTGGGAATCTTTGCATCCTCACGTTTACAATAATGGGCCTCATAATCGTTTCAATTATTGCGTGCCTTCTCTACAAATGTATTTGCCGCAAACGAGTAAGACTTGTCGTGAAAGTCTGAATCGGGACAATAACAGAAAGGAGAACACAATATACTACTTGTCAAATGTTACACATGACAACATTTCAACCCTTTTATACTAATAAACCTATAACTCTCCTCTTAACACATTAAATATTTATGTATTCACAACCATGCCGACTCGTGCTGCATTATTAAATGAATAAGTCTGGTTTTGCAAGCGGGATAACGCAATTAAGAAGTATTAAATTGAAGCGTATACGTATCTTAAAATCGAACGGAAATTAATTAATGCAAACTTACGGCAATCATCGAATATGACCATATATTAGATCTTTGACTTCTAAAACTATTGCCTCTACATCCTCCAGCTCAAACGCTCCTGAGGTTCTAAGAGTGTTTTCAACTTTTTCCCAATACAGTGCACCATTGCTGGTGACTGGGTGGACTTTCGTTCGTTGTAAAATTAAGTTGGACACAAAAATACAGTCAAAACATGTTTCTTGTCCTCGGATTTGTATACGAACACAGTTTAAAAAATTTTCCGAAAACGACCAATATTCTGCGTTTATGGAAATACTGAATATATTTTTTGAAAAATCGACCTGTATTAGTTGATACAGTTCCAACATAAAGTAGTCAAACTCCATAAAGTTTGTTATTAAGAGGCAGCTTTAATTCTTTTATGTAATCTAATAAACCCGAAATAAAATATAATACAATACATTTTTTGTATTGTATAGATGGAAGACAATGGATTACGAGAACATATTGTATTGCTTTGGTAACTTTTGTGGACGCGTGGCAAAGTTGTGGAGAAATATCTGTAAAGGCAAAATTAGTTGCAGTACATTTTTGGAGTTAGGGTCTTCGTTTACCGTAATAGCCGTTGTAAATCAATTAGTATTTATAGTAACGACTGCAACAATCCAAAACAAATAGACCATCCCCAGCGTTTTGATCTTACGCATTAAATAATCGATTATAAATTGATTATGTTAATGTGCTTTGCATCTATAGATTGCAGAATCCAATGTCTTTTATATCTGTTTACAAGGTCTTCTATAATGACGTTAAGATAACCAGCTTTTGTAAAAGTCAACAAAAATGATCAGATGTATGTCAATTTGTTGTTAAATATCTACTCATTTACGTAATATATTTCCACTTAGTCCTCGTTAACAATACAAATCTGAATGTTATTGCACTACTCCAGTCTCTAGTAACAATAAAACAATGTCGTATTTTTGTTCACAATCGATTATTCGTATTATTATACGTCAAAGTTTTGTTATCTTTGAATGTGTTGTATTCAGACAACCAAAACGCGTAAGTATCAGATAAACAGTAAGTAAGGAGACAATATATTATTGTTCTATTGAACAGCGGGTAAGGCTCTCTAATAAAACCATCATCAACCATCCGTAAAAACAGAAAATTATGTTACGAAAAATGCAAGATTATGAAACTAATACCAATAGTCAACTGAAATTATGCGAGTTAGTAAAGGATGTACGTCAACGATTTCCGAAAATGCAAACAACGCTCTCCATTGAACAGCTTATTGCACCAAGCACATTCTCTCGATCAAAGACAATTCCTAGACCACAAAATTGCTTTATGATATTCAGGAAAAATATAACGGCGACGTTGATAAAAGAACAAATAATAGGCAACGGCCAGGAAAAAGTAAGAATTTCATCAAAAGTAGCCAGCGATAAATGGAAAAAAATTAAAAACGACAAAAAAAAACATCCTAACGAGGACAGAGAGTTGGATTTTTGGAAGCTATTAGGTGAGATAGCTGACTGTCAGCACAGACTTATGTTTCCTGAATACAAATATAGTCCTAAACAAAAACAAAAAAGAAAAAGAAAAAGAAAAAAATGTGAACAAATTAACCATGCTGTTAGCAATGCTATTGTACCTCAACCATTACTTCTTCAGTCGTCAGAAAACGCGTACCTTAATAATAACACATATGATGAGGGTTATATCGATAATGTTGACACTAACAACGCCACTAACAACGCAACAACTACGCAATTTGTGCCGATCTATGATTATGGGCTTTTTTCGCTTTTTGATGATCTACTGACAACCGATTATTATAGCCTGCAATTATAATAGGTTGTAGTGGTATTGTCTTATCATATTATCTGAAATTTATATAAATTATCTATTTGCCTTGACAGTGATTATTTCTCCGTTTCAATGAACATAATTTACAAATTGCCAGGCGACTATGAAATATTGGTTGATAGATTATGGATTGATATCACAACAAACAACTTATTTGTGTTGAAAAATAACGTCTTACAAACTCAGGATGGCGAAAATTTCAAGTTATACGATCCAGAAAGTCTCATGGAAGACCTTTATGTAAACTATACCAAATTTGAATGCTTATCGCAAAGAGAGAAAGCAGGCTTTGTCTTATGGGCACTTACGTGTCGCAATGAAAATTATAAAATTTATCTAACAAACAGACACCTCGGGAGATACGGTGTCAACATGATATTTTTTACTGACAATGAACGTGCATTCTCTTTTCCGGAAGATTTTGATTTACCAGCGATCCCCAAAACGCAAAAATTTATTGCAATACAACGGATATCTAAGTATGCCTCAGTTACATTTAAACAGTAACTGCACTTGATAATTACAATAAATTTTGTTTTCTATTTAATAATACATAATGTTTTATTCAAAATATCCGATGAGACAAAAATGAGACAATTAATTAAAGCCCCCGCATACTGTAAGGTTTGAAATTATTAGATTGTAGTTCACAGTGCATTGTTATAGATAATAGTTGCAATGACATATTATGTTATCCCATATGTATAGGATACTAATGTGCAAACATATTAGATGTCCTGCGTTTAGAATTAAAGCTGCTTCTTAACAAACTTTATGGTTGGTCGATCATGGGCGGAATAATACATTAATCACAATAATACATGCAATTGTTAGTTTAGTCAGACATAATACAAAAGTTTTTGCTCCTCATGGCAAACTAATCTGAATAGCGTAAACTGTTGTATTTGTAAGCATCCATTATAAAAGCAACTACGAAAGACATAAACACAACATTTTTCAAGAAAAAGATGTCAGAAAAGAATAAAGATAGTGACTTACAAGGTTTTGTTAATTTGCTGGCGGAGAAAGCTCATAATGCCAAATTAGATAACAAGAAGAAGAAAAAGGGTATTACTTGGACGTACAATTCAGACCATTTTCATTATTGTAATTTGTTCCATGACGGGTGGGTTGGTCATGATTGTGGGTTCAAATTTTTATCTGAAGAGGAAAAGGCGACCGTGGCCTTATATGCACTCCTAAATCCAGAGGCAATGAGATTTAAATTGGTAAAAGCGAAAAAACATTGGGCGACAGATACGACAGTGGGAACAAAAAACTTGGCTATCTTCTTCATGACCAAGCAGGAAAAAAATAAAGTTCTCGGCTTTTACTATAATCCCATCCAGTTGAAAAATTCTGGTGATCTTTGTCTACCTGTAAGGTATTACAAGGATTATACGGAGTGTACTTACGATGCAAATAATGTTCGGCATCTTTTGGCAGAGAAAAATATTGACTTTGTTGAAGTTATTGGCCAAAAGCCTTCCAGGCGTTAAAGGAAATAACGGTTATATCTTATATTTCATTTTTCTATCATGTTGTTTATATCGTACAATAAATAAAATTTCCGCTATAAGCGAGGTCTAATGTACTGTTGTGTTAATTACGCGTATTATACAGTAGCAATTGAACCACTTTTAGTTTTTTTAAGGTCTAAATATTAAACAATTTCAATACTATCGGAATTATACTTGTTTAGGATGACTATCTAATCGGGAAATGATTGTTAGTAAACTACAATATTTTTTGATATCATGTAGATTAGTTGTATGGTTATCGTCAGTTGAAATTTCACGAACGTAGCGTTCGTGATTGTAGAGTTATTAATGAAAATATGTTTTCGAGTGATCGGCTCGTTCATATACTTGTTTAGGATGACTATATAATCGGGAAATGATTGTTAGTGTAACTTCCAAAAATGGATAGTCCGTCTAATTTAGAAATGATTAACGTAAATTAACTTAATTTAGAAAATAACGTGATTTAAATTCTATTTCCTTTTTAGTATGTTCCAAGAGAACGACATTGTCCATTGTTGGAATAATACCGTTTCGACAATGTCTACCAGCAGTCTCGCCGCGCCGCTGGTAACTTTTGTGGACGCGTGGCAAAAAAAATTAAAGATACCGCAAAGTTGTGGAGAAATATCTGTAAAGGCAAAATTAGTTGCAGTACATTTTTGGAGTTAGGGTCTTCGTTTACCGTAATAGCCGTTGTAAATCAATTAGTATTTATAGCAACGACTGCAAACAAATAGACCATCCCCAGCGTTTTGATCTTACGCATTAAATAATCGATTATAAATTGATTATGTTAATGTGCTTTGCATCTATAGTAATAGATTGTATTGTGCAATCCACAATACAAACAATATTCGAACGCTTGTTTAAAACAAATTACCGAAAACAAAATCCCCCCATCAACACTTAAGTTATGATGCAAGTCAAAAGTCCCCCCATTGGGGTTTAATTAAGCCTTGCTACTTCGAATAGCATAAAGCATATTTTATTGTCTCCTTTACAATACACGTACATAACTAGTAAGAACATCAGAAAGTAAATTGGCCATGGCCTTTTATACGGCCGGGTAAAGTGTTCGGTTGTCGTCTTCAACAAATAGTATTGTTTATTAGCAAAATTGTATTGATGTTTTCAAAGCGCACATTACGCATAGGTATAATAAACAATACGGCGATTGATAGTCGGAAATAGGAATAGCATTATTGACATATTTTAAGGTGTATGCGGTAAATTATCCACCATTTGTTGGACGGAATCTCTGGCTTTATAGGTAATAACTCATTCATGAACTCTTTCGACAATTCAGATCAGATCTATCTAATAACACATGATTAGTATCATCAAGACGTCAAAGTGGAGTTTCTTCTTGAATTAAAACTTACAATATCGTCTCTTCGGAAGTTATCTAATCTTTGAATTACCTTTCGAGTTGTTTGATGTCCGAGCCAGAGGCTGCTGTTCGTCAGAAACGTATAACAGGTGCTCAAGTCTTTCGTTGCATAATAAGATCAACCGCAGTATCTCCTTGAAGTCTTCGTAGGTGTATGCAAGTTGTCTACTTCGCTAAGGACAGTTATAGGTATTAATTATTTGAATTAAACCGTCTCTTCGCACGGTATAAAAAAAACATACCATGCAAAACAGGCTAACCGGCAAAAAACGCTAACAAAAGCGCGGATTTCGAATATCGTTCTTTGGAAGTTATCTAACCTCTTGAATAATGGAGTTACGGCGCTTTAGTCAATCGGTTTTCAATTTCGAATGTTACGGATTGATATATGGCAGTGATGTTGAATTATTGTATGGGCAATGAATTGTTGTAAACATCAATACAATTAATAAACAATACTATTTGTTGAAGACAACGTCATGTATTATTATCGTGTGTAGAAGCACGCACGTATAGTTTCACAAAGTGGGTATCATAAGTGACCAAATCAGAAACGAGTATGCACAAAAAAGCCTGCAGACAGACTAACAAGAGAGCATCGATTCTTATAGAAACAAGACTAATAATTACTAAAGCAAACATGAGTCCCGAAATAAATAGAAAAACAAAATTCCAGCTTATAATCGAAAAGTATTGTCGTTTTACTGAGTAGCTTCGTGATGGGTTGTCTTTGAGCGTTTGTACAAATCGTACAGTTACGTATATTAAAATAATAAAATCGACCGTAACAAATCCAATTGTGGGAATGTCGCTGCTTCCTGCACTTTTTCTACAGAAAATTTCACCTTCCGTATTATCCAAAACAGGGCTTCTGGTTACTAAGTTAGCAGTCTTAAAATTCCAATAATTAGTTATCTGCTAACCATAGACATATAAGTATTATATACTAATTACCTGAAACATGCTCCGGAGAAAAAATAAGAAGGTAGCAATCCGTGCATCCCAAATTGATTTGGTAACAAAACATATTCGCCAGAGCAATAGTCCATCTAAACTTTCTCGATAAAGAAAGGAAAAGACTTCAAATAATATTCCAAGAGAACGACATTGTCCAAGTGTTGGATGATTTAGCAATAATACCGTTTCGACAATGTCTACCAGCAGTCTCGCCGCGCCGCTGATATTAAAAATTGACTTCAGAACATTTGATAACTTTTGTGGACGCGTGGCAAAAAAAATTAAAGATACCGCAAAGTTGTGGAGAAATATCTGTAAAGGCAAAATTAGTTGCAGTACATTTTTGGAGTTAGCTATCAGATTTTAATTCTGGGTCTTCGTTTACCGTAATAGCCGTTGTAAGGACAAAAATTTTTAGAAATTTGCGTTGTAGTTCGGACATTTTTGTGTGATATGTGATAAAATCAATTAGTATTTATAGCGGCGACTGCAACAATACATTCCTCTGAGAAACTATATTTGCCCTAGAGAAATACTAATTTAGTGACATAAGATTTGGATTTAAACTATTCAAGATTGTCGCTTGTATTATTATTATTATTATTAATTAAAGTGCAAAAAACAAAACAAAAAAACAATGAGCAGCGGAAATCTTTGTCTATCAAACAATACACAAATATTGACAGTTAACATTTCACAAATGTAGCTTCGCGAAAATACTTGCTGGGAGTAATCATCGTATGATTGCTAGTGTAACTGCCAAAAAAGGTATGTTTATCAAATTTGGTAAAAAACGTGACCTAAAATCGTCAAGGCTAGGCTTTACGACACAATTAATTTGTTCTAAGCATGCTGTATATCAGTAAAATTTTATTCATAATAATTGCCTTGTACCATGCTTGTTTGGCGTAGGCGGCACAACGAAAGAAAAGGAATACCTAAATTATGTTTTGAGCAGGATGAAAAATCAAGTGTGCGCGTTGGCCTGCGAGTGGCCGGATAATTTTCGTTACTCCAGGATTTTGCACTAAAAACGGCAACTCTATAGTGTCCCACACTCCTCCGTTGCGTTGCTTCTTTCCTATCACCGCTATAACTGCTTGTTTAGCGTAGGCGGCACTGAGTTGCAGCCATTTGCACTTTATTTCCGGATTATCCGGGTCCCACGGAGGCAGGGGGATAACCACTTCTTCAAGACGCATTTCCAGGGTTGTGCCATGGGCTTCACAAGCAAGATTTGCCGCAATGTCTTCGGCATGAATGCCATTAGTTTGACCGGACCAAAAATAAGCTGTATCGCGCTCAGTCTTGAAGAGAGGCGCCCAAGGTGATTCAATAGTTGTTCCGCATGATGAGTAGGCTGAGGCGCAATAAAAAGTCAGGATGGTCCAAACAAACAAATTGGGCCCGCGCATTTTACTAGACGACTGCACTATTAAGCTTCAAGTTGAATGGTTGAGAATACTAACAGTAATAACGTCTTTGTTCGAAAAGATGTAAGAAAGTCGAGAAGTTGCATATCCAACACGTACACGAGATACACGTATATCTAAGGGTCATATTGTTATTTGATATCCGCGTTTGATCTCTTGTTACATATAATAGCCTTCCCAACCTATTGTCTCTATATAATACAACAACGATCATAATAAACAAGCAAAACATTGGCTGAGAATATTGTTCTATACAATACAGGCCGGGCGTGATGAAGATTTGGATGACCAGATTTTATCACAATACCATTATAAAACTTATATTGTTCTAATAACAATACAGACTGAATTAAAGAAATTCGGGACTCGAAATAAGCTCTCGATGGGTGGATCTCAATGATTCGCGCTGTCCTTGTTCAATATTCTGGACTAATCTGGTGCTGCTTGAATTCGATCCCCCCCTAAACATATGTCTTCACGGGAGTCAATAATGTAAAAGCCATGGAACCCATCGTATGGTTTTTATTCAACAAATTGGATCCGAATGAAGCGAAAAAGGTGAAATAGACGTGTTTTCGGTCATAGCGGTGTTACAAGCGGTAGTAGTAGTAGGTTTAAACCATATGCTCAACATAGAGATTTTCTTCGTGTTGGCCGTTACAAATCTCGGTCAGAGCAAGATATAATAATTCCGAGAGCACAATGTGAAACAAAGTAAAGTGAACACCGAAATAGAGTATATATCTCGACGGTTACGATTATACACGCGTATACGTGTATTAGTATTAGATCTCGATAACAAGTTTCGTCTTGTCAAGTATGATTAGATATAATAATTCCGAGAGCACTCATGTGAAACAAAGTAAAAGTGAACACCGAAATAGAGACGGTTACGATTATACTAGATCTCGATCTTGTCAAGTATGATTAGATATAATTCCGAGAACACAAGTATGATTAGATGATGCAAGATTCCGAGAGCACGAATGTGAAACAAAGTAAAAGTGAACACCGAAAACTGTATCTTGACGGTTACGATTACTAAAAACACTCGATCAAAGACAATTCCCAGACCTCAAAACTGTTTCATGATTTTCAGACAAGAAATAACGGCGACATTGACAAAAAGTGGGGATCGGAAAACAGTGAAGGCCCTATCAAAAGTCGCCAGCGATAGATGGGAAGAACTAACACCATTTACCCTGATAAGGACAGAGACTTTGACTTTTGGAAATTATCGGTTGATCTACCATTTACATTACCATATAAATCTAATTACCAACACAAACATTCAAAAAAGGAAATAGAATTTAAGTCACGTTATTTCCAAATTAGTTAATTAATTTCTTTTCGTAAAGAATATTCCATCGTATGGCAACTAACAACCCAACCAAATGTCGATGATAATGTTCTCCTAATAATAAGTGTTTACTTCGGGCGCTGAATGAGAATATATTTTCCCAAGTTCTTTACTATTCCCAACGCTTGGAAATTTCGTATTAGACTCGAATTTTTCCAATCGATCCTGTGTCGAATCAAAATAAAAGCCCCCCGATGCGTCCGTATAAAAGACCATGACCAATTTACTGTCTGATGCCGATTGCGCGTATACTATGTCATATTTAATGACGTTCGGATTTTGAAGTGCCCATAAAGCAAATATCGTTCTATTCACTTGATCGTATTCACAAAATTTCGTCAAGTTGACATATTCTCCATTAAAAAGATCTTTAGATGTCCAAAAATATATTTTGTTATCAGTATATTTGTTTCCTATATTATTGACAATATTTTGGACAAGTTCGATAATCTGGTTTTCGAGTTCGGTCATCTCCAACGATTCCTAATTTCAACAGAGAGGAATTTGAATTTAAATTAATTGTTTTATAGTCGCTTGTTATTATACTACATAGATTGAACTGCTTCTTAACGTTAATAATATTAACAACAAAATTTCGTCAATTGATATATTGTAATCCACAATACAATCATTGTCCAAGTCACCAATATGTAATTTCTATTACAATAGATGATGATGAAATAAAATTATTAGCAATGTTTTGTTTTTGCGCATACATAATATGTATTGTGAAAGTAACGTTTTGTTGTATTGTCGGTGTACTGAAGTCAGCGATATTCACATAGTAATAGTATCCCGGTCCAGTGAATAAGAAAACCTAACTTGGATAGGTTGTATTCGCATATCCTTGTTTCCTTGAGGAGTTAGCCCAATGACGAGGAAGGTGTCGTGCCTTTAATCCAATGCTGTTGTTAAGATATTGTTGTCGATTATCAACGTATATACTACTTCAATTCAGCCCAATTGTTTTTAAATAATTTAAAACTGAATCTTGTATACCAAACTCTCCGTTGAGAAATGACACAGGAAGAACTCGAACTCGAATTCGAACGACTCGTCCAAAGTACTGTTAATATCATACGAAATAGATATAAAAATAACGTAAAGATATACTTCGGGACACTTAAAGGCCTTTTTAATGAAGAATATGTCAAGTTGAGGGAATTTCTTGAATACGATCAAGTAGATAAAACAATATTTGCTTTATGGGCGCTTCAAAATCCGGACAACGTTAAATATGACATTGTAAGAACATCAGGAAGTAAATTGGTTATGGCCTTTTATACGGACGCGTCGGCGGGGTTTTATTTTGATCCGACACAAGATCAACTGGAAGTATTTGAGTCTAATACAAAATATCCAACGTGTTGGAGTAATGAAGATGAGAAAAAATATACCAAAAATTATTCCCAAGTGATAATTGTTGAGTTATTAATAGAAAGCCATCATCCACGACAGTGACAAATTGCTCCTAACGCAAAGCTCTCCGAGCGAAATAAATCTAAATAATTCTAATTGTATATGGAATCTGCAATTTGTTACGTCATTATCTTTGTGAAAACTCCATTGTTATAACGGCAACATAATACGTGCTATTATTTTATTAACAGAAGCTGCTTAATACGTATAAATACCCAATGTCAATATCTACCCAATTTTCCGTGAAATGAACTGCAAAGACCTAACTACGCTCGTTACCCAACTATTATCAGAATGCATTACTTTGAAAAAAAATAAAATACCGGGATCGGTGCTTGACAACTATGGATATATTCAATCTGATGTGTTTTCCAAACTCCCTAACGAAGAAAAAGCCGCCTTTACCTTATTTGTTCTCCAAAATACAAAGCAATATCGATATAAATTTGAATTGGTAAAAAAAATTGATCGACACCTGGCTACGGGATGTCGATATTATACGGCTACAAGATATCAAAATAAGAAAAAAAGTTCAGAATTGGCTGTATTTTTTATGATTGACAAGGAAAAGGGAATTTACTTCCATCCCAAGCAGGGTATGATTGCTGAAGCTTTCTCACCAGGATTTAAACATGAGGTAGTTGATATAGTAATAGATACAGATAAAATTGTACTCTTATTGGAGGGGAAGGGGCGGGCTTGGATGGAAAAATTTACTTTCGCGACTGGATTGATATGACAATAAAGACATTCGTTAGGTATACTATTTCTTATCAGTTATTACATACTTTATAACCCATTGTGAAAGAATAAGCGCCTTTGTCTCAAAAAGAGCAAATTTCGGAGTTATTCTATTCGGGTCTTGTGAGATCGGTTGATTCAAACCGGGTATGCTCAACATAGTTTTTCCCGAGAATTTTCGCTACTATCAAAATTTGGTCCACCACGTCTCGAAAATACAATACTCCGAGTTTTTTTTTACTATTTTTTAAATAGTTACGATAATACAAAAATATACCTATTGTTATTTAATCATATAAAACAAAGAAACTTGCATAAATCTTATCATTATGGAGTTGGAGTTCGATTACTTTAAGTTGGAACTGTTTCAACCAATACAAATCGATTTTTCAAAACATATATTCACTATTTCCATAAAAGCAGAAAGTTGGTCATTTTCGGGGAAATGTTTAAATTTTGTTCATATAAAAATTCGAGGACAAGGAAAATGTTTTGACTGTGTTTTCGTGTCCAACTTAATTTTACAACGAACGAAAGTTCAGCCCGTTACCAAAAATGGCGCACGGTATTGGAAACGAGTTGAAAACGCTCTTAGAACTTCGGAAAAGTTTGAGCTGGAGGATAATGATGCTAGCCCGTTCATGAAAAAAAACGATATAGAAGCAATTGTTTCAGAAGTCAAAGATCTAATATATGGTCATATTCAGTAATTGATGAGATTGGACAATCATTAGGAAATGTATATTGTTGTTAACGTTAGAGATAGTGACACACGATAATAATACATGAATTGTCTTACAAATTGCCAGGCGACTATGAACTATTGGTTGATAGATTATGATTGATATCACAACAAGCAACTTATTTGTGTTGAAAAACATCATGGTACGCGATCCAGAAAGTCTCATGAAGTAGATTATACCAAATTTGCGTGCTTATCGTCGGAAAGAGAGAAAGCAGGCTTTGTCTTATGGGCACTTACGTGTCGTAATGAAAATAAAATTTATCTAGTAAACAAACACCTCGGGAGATACGGTGTCAGCATGATATTTTTTACTGACGATAGGCATGCATTTTCTTTTCCGCAAGATTTTGATTTACCAGTGACAGTGCAATACAACGAATATCCAAGTATGCCTCAGTTACATTTAAACAGTAACTGCAATTACAATAATTACATTATAAATTTTTTTAGCTGTTATTGTCTATGGTGTTTGTCGGATCATAGCAAAATTTGATTGTCTTATCAGCACCCACAAAGCAAACAGCTACGGATGCATTGTTAAGATTTGCGTATGAAATCTGTTGGGTAAGCGTTCTTTCCATAGTACTTGGCCAATATTCTATTACCCTCACCGCCGAGAAGTATCACGCCAGTCATCGTGTAGAGTGACAAATTAACCTTGCAATTAAAGAGGAGACCTTAATGCCGATAAAGAAATATTGACCTTAATAGTATCAAATACGAACCATGTCAAATTATTCGCACATTGGCTATCAAAATAACGTGACTTAAATTATATTTACTATCGCGTCAAGGTGAATACATTATGTGGCCCATCGAATTAGAAATAGATTCAACGAAAGCGCATTGTTGTATACACACAAGTATGTGTGCTTACATTTAGGAGATGCAACATTTTTGGAGCAGTGTAAAATATGGTAGTATGAATTACTACGGTAATCAGTCTAGTTCCTCGGAAACACATAATAGTATTACTTACTACGGTAATCAGTCTAGTTCCTCAGATATTATGAATTTTGGTATTCGTAACGTAACAAATCCAATGTCGCTGCTTCCTGCACTTTTTCTACAGAAAATTTCACCTTCCGTATTATCCAAAACGGGGCTTCTGGTTACTAAGTTAGCAGTCTTAAATTCCAATAATTAGTTATCTGCTAACCACATGATTTGATGCAAAATTACACGTCAATGAAACCACTCG